TAGCTCAAGCTCTAGCTCTAGCTCTAGCTCAAGCTCAAGCTCAAGCTCAAGCTCTAGCTCTAGCTCTAGCTCTAGCTCTAGCTCAAGCTCAAGCTTTTGCTATGCTACTATTACTCATACTACTATAACTAAGTGCACTAAGTATAGCATTTTTCAATATGACTAGCAGTATTAGTATCACCAGCAGTACTAGCAGTATCACTAGCACAGCAGTATCAGCACTAATGGAAGCACTAACTGTAGAACTAAGCAAGCTACTATAGATATAGCTATAGTTTTTGCTATTAAGCCCTAGCACTTACTGCAGCATTAACTGTAGCTGTAGCACTAGCTATTCGAACCATTCGATTCCGCCATGTTTGTGAACGCTTGATCAATGAATTTTGTGCGTTTTTATTATTATTCTACAGCAGGAGTGAGTGTGCGTGGCTATTTTTGAAGCTACAGATGGAGTGGGAAACCAGCAGTTGACCCAGGGAATCAAATCCATGACGTCATGCCTCTTAAGTACTTCGTGTGACATCTTGCTTTCTCGGATAGCGAAGTGAAATCATTTTGTGTTTGTGATCGTGTGAATGCGGTCGGCTCAAGTGTGTTGTTTGAGTAGCATCGTGGAGTATTTGTTCTTGTTCCGTTTACATATTGTATCTCTTCAAAACCAGCTTTTCTTCACCTCGACCTTCCCCGATTCGGATCCCTTGGGAACCTTCTTGAACCGGAACTTGGGCGCGCCACAAGGGGGACACTTGTACTTGCTGTCGTCGAGGGCGGCCCAGGCCTTGGGACCCTTCGTGAAAACATAACCGCAGTCCTTGCACACGTAGTCTCCGGGGCTTCCGTCATCTTTTGGCTTTCCGAAAAAGAAAAGCTGTGTGCTAGTGGTCGGCGTCAACGCGACTGGAGCGACACTCACGGGGGCAAACGCCGACGCTGATTGTGGCGCAAAGAACATTCCGAGGATAACAGAAAGGAGACAAAAGAGGATGGTGGACTTCATCGTAGTTAATCTTTCAATCAAGGAGATGTCACGGTGGTGAAAATTGGTTTGTGCGAGTTGTGGTTAAGTGGATCTAAACGGATTACAGAAGAAGTGCAGTAAAAAGAGTACGACTTCTCAATCACCCACCATCATGAATCATCATCATCACCGTCATGAATCATCATCATCACCACAATCACCATCATTAGCAACAACCAATAGCAATCAATCGATACGTAAAAGAACACAACACCGTAATAACGGGACGCAGAGATGGAGCGGAAAAAGGGGGAGAACATGAACTCGAACGAAGCTACTAAGAGTACGTACGGTACTCGTACTCATCCCAGTACATCACGTAACAGTAGGATAGAACCGTTCCTGAATGGTTCGAACACGTCATACCAATGTTGTGTCAATCCAAAACTACGACTCACTCGACTACCTGGCTAAGTTTTTCAAGTTTTCTATTGGGTGATTCCCGATAACATATTTTCCGATATGTTTTCGGGAATCACTTTCAGTGGTACAGAAGACACAGACTGCCAGCTCAACTTACATATTTTCCCCCCATTTTTGGAATTTGGAATCCTGTATAAATTGCATGCAATTTCACAAAATTCCAAAGTGGCGGGRACTTTGGGATTTTCACTAAACCAGCTCTGCCTTCCRAACTTCCGAAAATCCTYCTCCAAAATCAACATCGAATCCTCCTCCGAAAGAAAAGAATAACAACAACAAAGAAAACAGTCGGTATCCTCACTATTTGGCAATCGATTGCTCCTTCACAGAAAAATGTCCTCCTTTCAGTTAGTTTTAATTGCATGGGCTCTCCAGCAACAACAGGAACAGGACGAGGAGGAGGAGGAGGAGACAGCAAAACAACCAGCAAAACAACAACTGTCCCTTCACGACAAGCGCCGACGAGACAGAAGGATGCCAAGGATTGCACTTTTAGGTGTCAAGGAATCTGCCTTCATCCATTTGTTTGGTTCTGGTGATGACCAGACTCTGCTAAATTGCTGTGGTGTAGACCATGCTGTCTTTAGGGAGCTCCTCTCCATTTTCGAGCCAGTGTTTGATACATACACTGTGGACAAAAACACTGAGCAAATCAGACCTYGAYRCTTGACCAAGGAAGGMAAATTCAAGGGAAAACCAAGAGTGATAACCTCAACGATTGGGCTTGCATTGGTCTTGACCTGGTACAGGACTCGCGGATCAGCAGCTAGGGCCTTGTCAATGGTGTTTGGACTTACCTCCACTCCCCTGTACAGATGGTTGAAATTTTCACGACGAGTCCTTCTTTTTGTGTTGCAAAAACACCCAACTTCAATCATTAGAGCCCCAACTGATGAAGAAGTGGAGGCATACATGTCAGCAATACAAAGGACGAAGTATCATACACTCGGAACCAAAAGAGTATGGGGTGCAGCAGATGGCCTCAAAATTAAGCTCGAGCAGTCTACCAATTGGCATATTCAATCCATGTACTACAACGGATGGGGCAAGGATACTTACATTAATAGTTGCCTTGTCTATGCCCCCGATGGAAAAATCAGGATGACAACATATAACTGTCCTGGGTGTATCATGCATGACAGCACCATGGCAGATTACGGCATATACGAGAAGTTGGAGGCCATATACAGAAGGAATGGGGGGTCAGTTGTTGTTGACTCTGCCTTCAAGGTCAGAGGGGCCAAGTATCTCATTAGAAGCCAGCAAAATGTTCCAGACAAATTCCCCACAATGACGGAGAACAATCATGCTATTATACTTAACCGAGAAGCCACAGCAGTTCGACAGTTATCAGAATGGGTTATGCGAATGCTCCAGGGGCAATTCCCAAGAATTAAAGACCGGCTTAAACTGGAGGAGTTTAGCGATAGGAAGGTTATTGTTAACCTCATGTTCTTGTTGTATAATTATCAGTGCAGCAAGGTGGGCAATAATCAGATCCTCAACACCTTCATGAGCGATACGAGTGGCTTTGAATCCTTTGAAAAGCTGAGGGAATCCTATGGGGAGAGACAGATAGGATACTTTGCTTACMAACTTCAGCCSAATGGKGACACCAACAGCTCATTCCCTGGCTTGTTCTCGGCGTGAGGATTTTCGATTGGTGCAGATTGTCGATTGTCGATTGCGGATTGTCGATTGCGGATTGTCAATTGCGGATTGTCAATTGCGCGTCAATTGCGCCATGGTTGTTTCAGTTTGAGTGCGCCATGGTTGCTTCAGTTAGTTATCTAAGTGTAATGAATTACTAATTACTATTTCTACAGTTACTCCTCCAGTTACTCCAGTTACTCCAGTTACATTATGAAGAGTGAGGAGTGAGCAAAAAGGAGCAAACAAGAAGCGACCTGCGACCTACGCGGTACACCGTGTTATTTGAGTTCCTTCCCCACTGTAGCACCGTGTTATTCTGTGTTGCCAGTTTTCATGGGAAGGAAACCGGGACCGGTAACTAAGAGGGAACGCGGTAACTAAGAGGGAACGCGTTGGAATCCCACACGATTGCTGGCACGCTTTGGTTTACATAGAGCTAACTCGCTGGCATGCTTTCGTTTACATAGAGCTAACTCATTGGACACGGGATCCAACGATCCAACAAGTTTTCATGTGAACCTTTTTGTACACGAAGTATCGAGTATGATTCCTTTTACACATAGTATCGTGTATACTGGATTTAGAAGCAGTATTAGTATTCAGTACTCATAAATCAGTTGCAGCAAGCAGTGGAGCAAASAGCAATCAGCAAGGAGTCGTGGAGCAAACAGCAATCAGCAAACAGTAGTTTAACTTAGTAATCTTAATTCTTAATTCGTATTTGACCATGGGATTACATCAAATTGTCCTCTGAGGAGGAGGACGAGTCCTCACACTGTCGCTGTCTCTTCCTCTTCTTCTTCTTCTTCTTGACAAATACGCTGGCAACAACACGTACCATATCTTTGATTTCTGCCAAAGTATGCTGGTACTGTTGAATGGATGCTTCTTGGTAAGCTTTATACTGTTGCATTGATGCTTGAGCAAGCGTTTCTTGGTGCTTCATGGACATATTGAACATGGATGTGATATCTGTGTTGATGCTGCTGGTACTGGTGGAGCGACTGCTGGTGGATGCTTTTGAGTATGCTCTCTTGAGGGGAGCACGAGGGCGAGGAGTGCTCAACAGGTGAKGAACAATCGATGCATGAGTTGATTGGGTTGTTTGCTGTGTTTGCTGAGTCGATTGKGACTTGTATTGCTGAGTTCTTGTTGCTTGAGCAAGCTGCACCATCTGAGTTGCAGTCTCCTCCTCAAGCTGACCAGTTGGCATCTCAAGCTGCTGAGTTGGCGAAAGTGTCTCAAATCAAGGAGTGAGAAGCTCAGCAGTCATTTCTTGGGTAAGTTGAGCAGTTTCTTGGGTAAGTTGCCACTGAGGAGGAGGACTTGGGGTCGTATTGTTGTTGTCTTCACCATTCCTCAGCGCTAAAGTGGTGTTATCCTCACTAATCGCGTATCCTTCTTCCAGATCAAACTCCTCTTCCCCATCTCCAATGGCTGCCTTGGCACCAATCAACTCCTTGATCTCCTTTGCAAGCCTGATTGCTGGATTTATGTACGGATTGCCAGTAGGACTCGTTTTCCTGTGGAGGGAGGAGTACTTCCTGATGATGGAATCCTTGTCTCTTCCAGTCCCCCAGTTCTCTTCATGGGTGTCAACAACAAGTCTCCATTGTTCTGGTCCAATAGGAATGATCCTCCTCATGAGTGTCAGCAAGTCCATAGTCTCTTTCTGGGTGTAGTTGATGGAACCTTTGGATCTTCCTCCTCTTTCTTGAGCAATTGACCTTGGACGCGTTGCTCCTCCTGGACGCGTTGCTCCTCCTCCTGGACGCGTTGCTCCCCCTGGTGCTGTTAACCTTGCAGCTGTTGTTGCAGCTGTTGGTGCTGGAGTCATGATCCTTTTGTTCTTGTTTTTATGAGCCGGTATGCAAATCACACATGGGATTTCGATATCTTCTTCCCTCTCAAGAGAGCGCCGGCTCTCTTCCCTCCTCCTCTTAGCAAGCCGCGCTTGCTGCTGCATCCTCCACAACAGAAGAATCTGGATGCTTGGTGTATTACAACTAAGTAGAGGGCTCCACGCGCCAACCATCCTCAGCATTGTTTCTCTTTGTTCCTTCTCTTTGTTGTTCCTTCTCTTTGTATTCCTTCTCTTTGCCGTTGAAAAGATCATGTGCTTTTTCCTTGACACTTGAATCGAAAGTTTGGCGCCTGTTTAGGGCGCGCCTGCTCCCGCAACTGGAAATGGTTAAGTCAAGGATTCCAATAAAAAAATATGTAAATTACATAAAAGTTGGTTGTCGTGGGCCCACGACAACCAAAATTTATGTATTTTGGGTCATAATGCGAGCCGGCCGTGCCAAAATTTACACAGATATATGTTATCGGGAATCACCCATTAGGGGGGATTGAAGAAATCATAGAAGTCGAAACATAAAAAAGACTAAAATTGACTCGCTAACGCAAATAGTTTCTACGGTACGGTGCAAAAACTAAGTTAGTGCCAGTAAGGTTGAAGTTATGCTCTGAAAAGAATTTAGTAGTACTAGAAGCTATTCAATGAAAGCACTGTGGCTGTTTGTTGTTTCTGAAATAGGAATGGAAATCATTGGTTTGTTGTGTATCCTGGGTATTGATTTTGTTGTTGTTGTTGTTGTTGTTTGTAAGCAGACGAAGAGGTGTCTTACAAAAAGACCATTGCTGGAAGTTTTCCTTCTAACTCCTCCTCTTGAAAGAAGAAGAAGCACAAAAATCCAACTGCTTTTGTAAGACCAAGTTGGGTGAAACCAACACATTTTCCAAAGATCTTCCCCATAATTTGTCAACAGTTCTTACATTAGCAATATTGATTGGGAATTGAGTTAATCATATTCCCTTGTGACTTGTTTGAGTTTGACAATGGGTAATTCTTGATTCATGATATGATTCTTGCAGATATCCAAATTTTGCTGTTGCTGCTGTGTTTTGAAAGGTTGAGTGATCCTTTTTAGTCTCCTTCTTCATGGACTACCTCCATCCATTCAACTTTCTCAGCATTTACGCATCAAACATAAAATCCATCAAAGTTGATAATTTCACAATCTTGGTGATGGTACCCAATTTTCAGCAGTTTGACAGACTAAAAGAATGTATGCATGACTCCATTTGCTTTTGACTTTTCGACATCTATGTTGTCATTGAATATGATAACAGGTCTA